CATTTGCTCAAAGTTCTGTTGCATTCATCTTGTTGCATCCCCTGTTTTCTTGGCTTACTGGATCATTTGTCACATTCTCATTAAAATGAAGTTATTAAGTATGGATTATTTTGTATCAGTTTATGAAACCATAGCAAAGCAAACATGCAGATGAAGTCATGCAATGTTTTTAAATGATCTATGATCATACATTTTGTTGATCCCAAAATTACTAATGCTCGCATATCATTGTTTGGAAGGATGATGATGCCGTCAATGCTGAAGCTTTTATGAACAAAGCATCTTTTTTGGTTAGCAACAGTAAAAATGAAGTGTTGAATTTGCAGTATAAGGTCATTGTTCTTGCTAAGCTATTTCATACTTTATTTTTTTTATTTTTTTACTATCCATCACTATATTGAAACATGAAGATTTGTGTATATTACAGGTCTGCTATGCTAGGATATTAGATTTGAAGAGGAAATTTTTGGAAGCTGCCTTGCGTTATTATGACATCTCACAGATTGAGAAGCGACAAATTGGAGATGAGTATGTTTCTTACAAGACGAATAAACAAAAACAAATCATAAATGTATTTTCTGCATTTCCTTATCCGTCTATCTTGGGACAGGGAAATCGATGAAGCAGCTCTTGAGCAGGCTCTAACCGCTGCTGTCACGTGCACAATTTTGGCTGCTGCTGGCCCTCAACGTTCTCGCGTACTTGCTACTTTATACAAAGTAAAGATGAACCCTTTAGTTTTTTTAGGTTTCCGTGTTCTGAAAATTCTGTTTGAAAATTTCTTCATATTATAGATTGAATTACGGTTGTGTACACGTGCTGGTAAGAAATAAGATGTCAAGAATAGAATAGTATTTAGAATACTATATCTAAAGATTGCAACAAAGCTACAATACCATTTATATTAAATCAAATGAAGCAAAAAAAAACTCCAACACTCTTCTTCAAACGGGAACGTATACATCAATTCCTTGAGTTAAGGCTGCCTATATCTTCATTAGATTCTTCATGTTGGACGGTTGATGGTCCGTATGGACTATGGACTATGGTGTGGTCCCAATTTGTGCTGCTAAGTGTTAAATGCATCTGTTTAGTCTTCTTGTATGGTCAGAATTTATTCATAACCCTGCATGTTTTAGATTGGTGAACATGATATATTTAGGGATGAACTAAAATTTGCTAATATATATTTTTCCTTGTCATCATCAGGATGAGCGCTGCTCAAAATTGAAGATTTTTCCAATCTTGCAGAAGGTATGCTGCTACTTGGTTTGAATGTATAAACCCAGCATTAAGTGTGTGCTCGGCATATCAGAGTTTCTTGGTTTTCATCACATATGATCTCTTTTCAGGTCTATTTAGAGAGGATTCTTAGAAAACCTGAAATTGATGCTTTTGCTGAAGAATTAAAACCACATCAGGTTTTGTTTCTCAGTTTCAAATACTCCAGATCGTTTCTACTCCATACTATTCAAGTTCCTAAATCTAATTACGGAGTATTTGATATGAATGTGAAATGCAGCAAGCACTACTTCCAGATAACTTTACTGTTCTGGATCGTGCTATGATTGAACATAACCTTTTGAGTGCTAGCAAACTCTATACAAACATTAGGTAAGAGACAAAGGAATGATAAAACTTTATTTCCTACTATTGTTTTCAGATTACCCTTTGTTTTGTTCTTTCTCAACTATTGCATTGTTACTGCCGGTCTGATAATGCAAAATTTATCTTTACTGTCTCGTGATGCAGCTTTGATGAGTTGGGCACACTGTTGGGAATACCTCCTCAAAAGGTAACAAACCATCTTCAAATTTTAAACACTTATGTTCATAAGTAAAGAACATCATTGTTTGGCTCTGCAATAAGCCCTATTGTGTATTGACTGGTTTTCCACTCTCAATAATTTTACAGTACATGCCATGGTAGTTTGTTATCTAAGCTCATAAGCTGTACTTGACAAGTTCATCTGTTGCAGGCTGAGAAAATAGCATCAAGAATGATCTGCGAAGATAGAATGAGGGGATCTATTGATCAGGTAAACGTTATCATCTAAGTTTAGGAATTTTCCTGAAATACAGCACTTATAAGTACATTCATCTTAGGATGCTTCTGAACTGTTGTTATGGAACATACTTTTAACAATCAATCCCTACTTTAGAACACTTGCTTTAACATCCTCATGTTGATATGTTTTTGTCCTTGTGGTGACTGGTGAGTGTTGATCATTTTATGTGTGCCAGGTTGAAGCTGTTATACATTTTGAAGATGACACGGAAGAATTGCAACAATGGGATCAACAGGTGGGTCTTCTTTGCTACTCTCTTATGGTTAAGGCCTTAGGGATCCATTTGGAATCTGGAAAATGATGGGGAAAGACAATAGGACTAAAAAGATAAGGGAGATTTGGAAGGGAAGAAAATTTGAAGGAAAATAAAAAAACGGTTCAAACTCAATAAATCCATTTCAGATATTGCTCAAACTCAATAGGGATTTCTTTTATCTAAAGACTTAGAAATCTAAATATAAAACATTTCCTTGAGCATTTCCTCCCCGCATTTACTAAGGCTTATTATCTGAATTCCAAACAAAGCCTTAGAAAATGAAAATTATAGGAAAAACTTATAGGACAACTTGGTGGTACACCAAGTAGTACTGCACAAACAACATATCCCTAGATCATATCGTTGTGTTTCCCCCATGAGCAATAGGAAGTAGCGTTATTTTCCCCTCTACTCATTCACTTTTGTGGAATGAAATATGTGCAGATCGTCGGCTTGTGTCAATCTCTCAACGATGTTCTAGACAGCATGGCAAAGAAGGGCCTCCCTATTCTCATCTAATTGTTTTGTGGCTCCCCCTCTTACCATTTCATGTTTCTTAAAGTTGTGTTGTCTATATTCTGTCTGCACTCCAAACAAACATTCACAACTTTTACATATTTGTGTTCTGCAATCTTGATACAGCTTCTTGTAATGTCCAAGTGATTAGAAAACAGGTTTGGTTTTTGGTGCTCCTTTTTAATTTTTTTTTTTGAAAGGATTATTGTTACAAGTAGCTTGTTATCCTAAAAATGTGCACATCATTTTCTGAACACAGTCGAATCTTTTAACGGCATGTTTGGAAATTGGAATTTCAATTTAAATCTGGATTTGGTTAAATTTCTATGTTTGAAAAAATTTAAAAAATCTGTATTTTGATTAGAGGCAAATTCTTCTTATTTATTACTTCCTCTGTTCCAATTTAGATCGCTTGTTTCGGTGTATGACGATTGACTGAAGTCATTTTCTTATCATTTTATATGAAAAATAGTGTAGAATTAAAAAACAAAAATTACATATTTAAAAATTACATTAAAAGACAACGTCAGTCATTTGCATGTAATGATCATTGATTAGATAAAAATTCTCCATTCAATTAATTTAATGAAATACTTCGAACAACATATATTATGTGTTTGAACATTTTGGTTTTTAGTAAAGTTGGAAGAATTTTGATCATGAATTAAGTGAAATTGGTATTATGTAATGATATAAAAATGATTTTTATTATATTTATGATGCAAACAACTTATAAAATTACGGAGTATTTCATAGTATTATGAAGTTTATGTACTCTCTACTGTTGTGGGATTCACTTGAGTTGTTGTTGTTGTACGTAGTATTATGAAGTTTATGTACAGTAATAAACTTGAATTTAATTACTAGTTAAAGTTTATCCTATTTGATTGAAAAAATTCAAAGAGAACAAAATTTTTGAGACAAAAAAGATGAAATAATCATTTTAGTGCTCACATAATTCATGTTTGTTTAAAATAGGGGACATAGCAATAATTAAATAAACAAACAACCAACTTTGAATCGAAACCATATACGAAGTAATTTGGATTAGGGATTCAGATCTTCTATCCCCCCTCCGTGTTCCAACTCTGTCTCCCATCCTTCTTTTACTCAATTTTGCTACATATCTACCAAGACCACCACACTCACCCACCCATATGCATATGGCCCCCTATCCCACCACCCATCAAAGGAGGAGAGGGGGAGGGATGAGTGTGTGTTAAATTAGGAAGGGAGTGAATTATGTGGCAAAATGTAAGTGGAGGAAGGGACAGAAGATCTCAGTCCTTGAATTAGAATAAACCCGCAGTTATCGGTAATTATTAGAAAATGAAGTACTCCGTAAATGATACTCCCTCCGTCCTAAAACTTTCTTCCCAGAGCACTATTCCAACTTCACGGGAACTTATATTTATTTGTGTTTTTTCATGGCCTATATGATAAAATAAAATATTCTTGTCACCACTTGTTTTGTTGAACTTTTGATGTAGTTTTTAAATATGTATGTTTTATTTTTTATTTCTATACCAATATTTAAATAAAATAGATTGAAAAAACTTGAGATTTTTTCTTCGTTTTGCGTAACGGGAAGAAAGTTTTAGGACGGAGAGAGTACTATTCATACTAATGTGTTCCTTTTTTTCTTATTTTAAAATGTACTAATTGTGAAGATACTATTTCTTTCATCTCATTCTTTTATAGACATGAAGTAATGATATAAATGGCCAAAAAATAAAATGTGACCGATATTGATTATAAAAAGTGAAAAGAATAGAAGAATGAATTTCTACAATTAAAAATTTACCAAATATAATTTGAAACAAAATTGGTGTGATGGAAAAATGAAACAAAAAAAAAATAAAATGGTGCAATGGAGGGAGTAAGAAATTGCATAGTTTTGGTTCATAAAATGAGAAAAATAATATCAATCACATAATTGTGAAAAAATAAATTAAGATTTTTTTAAATGCAAAACCCAACCGAACCAATTAACCAAACATTAAGTTGATAAATACTCCTTAATTTTCCGTATCATAAAATAGAAGCCCTAGCTGGTTCCCGCCGAATATGTGGCGCGAGTTTCTTCTTTTCAATTCAGCAGGTAGATTCATATAGCCCGCACTCTCTGAGCTTCACTATCTCCTCTAAATCTTCGCCAAGCGCAGACCTGAGAGCTGCAGGGATCAATCAATTTCATGTTTTCCCAGTCAGATCTGTGAGATTCCATCCCCGATTTCTTATACAGGTGTTTATTATACGCATTTCTTCAAATTATTTGGTTTAATTGATTCATTTAGACTCTTATCGCGATTTGCAATTATTGTTCTTTTCATGCCAATTCGTTTGATTCTGAAACAGATCCCGCTTTCTCTACTCCCTTTGCATCAAGTTAACCTTCCAGATCTATAGATCTCAACTAAAGTTCCGGTTTTTATACTACGTGTTTGTAGATCCAGTCTTATTTTGTTTTTCTGCATCACCGCTTTGTGCCAATTTGATAAATTACTTTTTTTTTATGTGAGAATGAATGGAGAGCGATTTCCTTTAGAACAGCATAAGCATATGATCATAAATGAAATTTGGATTACTTGAAATGCAGGGATGACCAAACCTGTGACTGCAGTGATACACCATTTAAAAATAAAAATAGCAAGTTAAGGGTCGATTCATCACAATCTTTAGTTCACGTTTGTCAGACTTTGCAGCATTTCAAGTTTAACTAGACTACCAAGATCTTGGTCATTCTATTTCCCTGCATATGTTGTGGTTAGGTCTGTCAGCTTTGGTGATTTGTGTCTTTCAAGCATTTCTGAGTTCAGATAAACTTAACTATGAAATATTTCTTTCCAATTTTGTTCTTTGCTGGAGTACTATTTTTTTGGTACAATGCAAAGTAAGCCTAATATTTACAATTTACATTCATCTTATCGGAAGTTTACATAAACCTGTAGTAACATTTCAATTGTCATTTCATGTGCTAGATCTTTTCTGACATAGAAGTGTGGGCAACTTTTCAAGAGTTAGAGTGGTTGGACGATGGAACTCAGAAAGAGCTCTAACTCGCACTTTATCCAAACTATAAAAAAGGGGTTGGTTGTAAAGACGTGCAATGTTAATTCCCGTAGAAAACCAGCTCTTATTTTCAGAAATATGGAGGAGATTCAAGCAGCTAAAGACCATTCCACTCTCAGTTCCCCAGAAAAGTTTGTCGAGAGTGATGACCAATCTTCTTTGCCGCCGGTTGCTGACAGAACATTAAGAGAGACTGACAGTGTAAATAATAATGAAATTATTTCCTATAGTACTGATGGTGAAAGTGATTCAGATGACTGCATTCTTGTGGATATGACACTGAAGCAAATAAAGGAGAGGTGCAGATCCAAAAAAAGAAAACTTCTTAGTCTGTTTTATACTGATCCTGCTCGGGAAGTATTTAATTGTGAGGAAGTGGAAGATGAAGATCTCAATATACCTCTCAGTGCTTTCAAAATAAAGCTATCAAATAAGTCATCCAAAGCTAAAAGGGGACGCCCGGATTGGAAAACATCTCCGTGTTCTGAAACCTCTATTTCAGTTAAGTCAGAACATATCCTGGATTCTGATTTCAACATGGAACTCAACGAGGAATCAGCTTCTACACTTGCAAATGTCAAAGAAGAAGTTGTTGAAGAAGAGTTTTCTATTGTCCAAAACACAAATTCAGCTCCAAGTTTTCCCATAGAAACACCCATATTATTAGATGAGGCGCATGATCTTCAGTTTTCTGTGAACCAGCATGTAGATTCTTTTAATGATTGCCCTTCCATTAAATGTGATGAGGAATGGAGGATATCCAGTGAAGTTTTAGAAAACATAGAAGTTCAGGAAAGCATGCCTATTGTGTTTGGAGAGGAGCAACAATGTTGTACTCTAAATGATGTGTCCACAAAAGATAACTTGCGATCTGTTGAGGTAGATAATTCTACAGATGATCACCAAGCAGATGATATTCACATGCCTGAAGATGAAGTTCAGGAAGAAATTTGTTCAAGTCAAGAAACTGGGTTTGCATCTGGGGATTTCAAGATTAACTCAAGCTACGATGATGATTTAACATCTGCAGCAGACGGTACTGCATCTTCTTTGACACTAATTCCAGAATGTTCCTTCGTTGAAACTGGAAATACCTGTTTGAATCCCCTTTCAGTACAAGGTGAGTCATTAACACCGGAAGAAAATAGCTCTCTGGATATGATTAAAGAAATAAAAGGTCCAACTATTGAAACACGACCTTTACACCAAAACTCTTCTCTGCCGCAACAGCCTCCCCAGAGGTTCCCCTCTTTCCGTACGGTTAGAACTGTCTTTATACTTTATATTCTTTTCATTATATGTTATTGAAGTTTGCCGGAAACTTGATTTCCTTTTTTTTCAGGCTATTTCCCCATCTTCCCAAGAAAGACTTTGTTTGGAAATGAAATCTGTGAATTTGTTTGATGAACTAGAGAATGACAGTAAGTCATGTGCACTTTTACAATAGATATTGATCACTCCATCCAAGCATCGATTCCATTTGAAATCTATTTTACCAAAATATTGAAGCATTCCACTGTCTTACACTTCCCTTTTTTACATTCAAATTTACTCATTACTTCATACCCAGCACCATCTGAGATTAACTCAATTTTAATCTACTGCTAGAGCAAAAAATAGACTAAGGCCTTGTTTGTTGAAAGATTTTGGAGGGAGGGCAGTGGAGGGGAGGGAAGGATTGATTTTTGATTTACTAACTTATTGGCATTTGTTAGCCTTAAACTACGGAGTAGAAAATATTTACTACAAAGAAGTATATCTTTAGTTGAGTCATGCATTTTTCTATACTAGTAATTTTTTGTCTTCTCATTCTTTCCAAGCATCTAAATTTTGATGCATATAAAATTCACCCCTTCTCTTTCCTCCCTCCCAGATCTCCCCTCCCTATCAAGCCGAACTAACTGTTATTTGCTCGGACTGTTGTTGCAGTAAAACCTCTAATTGGGCAAGAAGACAATTCTGGATGCACCACATATGAGAATTCCAAATTATCTTCTCAAGGTTGCCAACAGAAAGTTATTATAAGGCGCGAACAGATCACAAGAAAGTTGAAGAGGAACTGCCGAAAGGGTTTCCCACACAAAGCCAATTCGGATGGCCCACTTTTTTCTCGATCTCTACCTCAACTTAGCACTGGTTCCACCTCCATTGACAGCTGTTCCAATAGTGCCGTAGCATTTTCACAACGACAGATGCATGATTTTGAGTTTCTTGCCATGAAGCTCTTGGATGAGTTAAAGTCGATGCAAGGCGTGGTTGAAGAAAACTTGTTGTTTAAAGCTTATCGCAGTAGTTGTTGTAAAAACGACGTGGATAAGGTATAGTTATGGACTTATTGTCATTTTTAGCTTTTTATTTGAAGCTGCTCCTCAGCCATGCCCTATATAAGCTTGATGAATAAATCTCTTTAATTCTGTAGGTGAAGAATAGAATAAATAACACTAAAAAAGTTGAGGAGACAGCAAGAAAGTGGATGTCCATGATGGCAAGGGACTGCACCCGCTTCTGTAAACTCATGGTTTGTACTGTTCCTCCCTACACAAGAGTGCATATTGGGTTCCATTTTCGCTAAATGCATTGTCATAAATACCGAAGTAACTGTTTTTGTTAACGACATTTGTATGAATGATTTGCCTTTTTCGGGTAACTGAATTCGAATATGAGAATGTGATCTTATATAAATGCTACAGGGGATGCAGAAATCGAGTCAAGATCATTCCACTTCTGCTGAGAGCACAGCCCAAAGGGATAGGAAAATTACTTTCGCTGATGAAGCCGGCGGTATGCTTTGTACTGTGAACTACTTTGCTTATGACGACATTCCAAGCTCTCCGCAACGTTTGCCTTGTGAAGATGAAAAACAAGTTTTTGGGCAATGCAAAGAGCTGGAGAAGCTTGATTCTGACCTTTGAAAGTTTTTCGATCACTTCTATCTGATCTGTGGGCAATGCAAAAAGAGCTGGAGAAGTTGTGCAGATAGTTTGCATTCGGCTTGGTTAACATAATTGGGTCTTGTAGATTTGAGGAATACAAATGTTCAATTTAAAAATCATAGAGATTTTGTTCCAAAGCTTTTTCTTCTTCTTCTTCTTCTTGCATAGATTTTTCAGAACTGCTGCAATAATTATGAAAAGTTAATGTTGTACTTCTAATAGTCCGTATCCCCCTTCCGTGTACATTCAATACATTTTTATGAGTTCACATATTGTAGACATAATCCATTTTTAAATTTCATTATCAACCAAGATAATGTACTCCATATTTTTTTGAGTAAATTCCCAAAATGATACTCAATAACTATTTGTTTTTTCAAATTAGTCTCTAAGATTAATTAATTATTGAGATGGTACTTGCTATTTGAAAATAATGTTCAATTTAACGGGGATGAAAATTTATGAAGTCTAGAGAAACTAGTTTCAAAATAATGAAAATAGGACTTTTATTTTAATATTTTCTCTGTATTTTACTTTTATTTAGAGTGATTTTTTTAATGATGTTAAAGTATTTTAACCAGCAAAGGATTGAGACTTGTATTCATTGATTTACATCAACAAATTTTTGTAAAACTACATCAACCAATTACAAACGAAAGGAATGATTCAAATTTAATCAGTGAATTTTTAAGCTCTCGCTTTTCATTAATTATTACAGACGTAGTAGTACTCCGTTTTCTTTTTATGCAGGATAGTTACATTCATCATAACCTGGAAAAAGGCAACAAAGAAAACAAATTAGCACAAGCAAAAAAACAATAACAACGTTTTTTCTTACTAAAAATGTCATGCATGATTAGGATCAGACAAATAATCAATCGTTGCTTGTCTCTTAAAGGCACACCATCTTATGATCTAGGGATTGCAAAAGAGAATTGTTGAAAAATGACAAACTACATGCATTGATTATAATTTGTTTGGATGTCTTGTGTTGGGGTAAATTTCACCAATGGTACCTGAACTTTAGCTGAAATTTCGAAGTGGTACCTGAACATCAAATTCTTTCACAAAAATCCCTGAACTTACACAATCCTTTCACTAATGAGCCATTAGCCCGTTTCTAGGTTAACTTCCGGTCATTAGCGCCAAATTTGAATTTTATATATTTTAAAATTTTCAATTTGACCCATTTCTTCTTTTCTTTTCTTCCAGGCCCCGCCGCCGCCGCCCGCCGGTCAAAGTCGCCGGAAAATGAACTTTTACCGATTCCGGCGGGACCAATGTCATTCTCTTCGTCTTGAGACGAGGATCAATAATATCCAAACCATTTTGTCTAATTTGGCCTGTAACTTCTCGAATCTGAATTTTTCTACTCGAAAAAACTCTAAAATCGAAATTGGGTCCAAAATGGGGGGTTTTGCAAATCGTCATCAAATCTTGCAATTGAGGGGTCCTTGGAGGTCGCCCGGATTCCACGACCGCATTGGAGTTGGTGCCCGCCGTCAATTTCGCCGGAGTTGGCCGGAAAACGCTCCGACCCGCCGTCAATTTTCAAGCAACCGCTGGCGGGTACCACTTCAAAATTCCAGCTAAAGTTCAGGTACCATTGGTGAAATTTACCTCTCGTGTTGTTTACAAAAGAAGCGAAAAAGAAAAGCTTGAAATTAATTTAGAAAGAAAAAAGAGTATGTAGTGGGTGGGTGGGTATATTACTTGGATTGTTGGAGGTGAGAGTTGCAGTGCGTGAGAAATCACAGTTCCAAGAGTTCCTGCCGGAGTTTTGGTAGACGAGATTCATGGCGTAGGCGGCGTGGGAGGCGATGGTGTTTGGTTGGAAACAGGCTCCGCCCGGCTGGATGGGCCCGCAATCGATGTATGTTTGGGCACAAGCGTAGTCTATGTTGGCTTGCAACCCCACGCTTGGCACCCCTTCTTTTGGCACACACCACCACAGCAATGACGACGACCCACTTGATGCATTTTTATTATTCTCCTTAGAAGGTGACGACGGTTGAGGAGGAGGAGGAGTTGCACTACATGGCGGCGGCGGCGCCGTTTTTGACATTGGCGGGCTCTACACACAAAATAACATAAATAAATTAATGAGTAAAGAGGAATTCTAGAGTTACTACACTATACCAAATGGCATATTTTGTGAACGGTTAAATAAAACCTCACAACATTCTAGAGAATTCTACACTTGTCAAATTTTTTTACTAAAATGTCAACCAAATTTAAACAGTACAATCGCAAGAGTATGAGGCGAGGTCGGAAATGAAAATTTATGAAATGTAAAAATTACCCGAAGTATTATTTTTATGGACGAAGCATGTGAATAGTCTAATTGAAATAGTGTGACAAAATTACACCATTCACACACCATTTGAATGGTGTAATTCTACAATTCATGGTTAGTAAATTGGGGTGAATAATTGACCTGATTGGAGGAGGAGGATTTCAAAAGTCCAGCATCGTAAATCATGGTTGAATTCCCGTAGAAGAGTCCGAAAGACCTCTCGGAAGTGGGCCCAGGCTTCAAGTCTTCGTCGTACAACGCGAACAGATACGTGTCCACCGATTTCCCCGGCATCAATGGAGTCCCCGCCGTCGATCTCAAGTGAGAAACCAGGTTCCCGACATAAGCCTTGGCGTTGTCGATGCTTGGGCCCACCTCGTTTGCGTCTCCGGCGTACGGCCACCCTGTCTCCGCCACCACGATCTCCACTTCCCTGAACCCCGTCCAGTCCAGTGCTGACCTCACCGCATCCAGCTGCGCGTCGAACATGTTCGTGTACCTTATGTTCGTGGCCGGATCCAGTCGGCCGGCGTTTGGCCGGAATAGACAGAAGGCTAAGGTTTCCGGCCGTGGGTCGCTCTGGTAGGCGAAAAAAGGGTATGGGTTGATGAGGAAAGCAGAGCCCGTGGCGTTGTTGAAGCTCAGGATCTCTTTCAGAGAGTCCGTTATGGCCGGGTCGAACCGCCCCGACGACGGCGGCTCCGACGACGTCAGCATCGACATCCCGTGAACCGTGGACACCTTGATTTTTCCTCTCAGTACTGAAACAGAGTCGATTGCGCTTTGGAGATTCTTCATCGCCGGCAAGAGCTGGGCGATGAGATTCCGGTCGCCGGAGTATAGGACCTCGTTGCCGACGTTGATGGTGGTGATGATGCTCGCCGGGTAGAAGGGGATGACATTCGAACTTATCCATCTCTGGGAGAACCCGGGGTCGGTGGCCATCGCCGGAATGTCACCGTTGGCCACTCCGATCATGATTCCGACGCCGGTATTGGCTAAGGCTTTAATAATCGCCGTGTCAGAGCCGTACAGCCGGACCTTTTGGATGGAAGTGGATTGCAGGAGCTCGGCGGTTGCCTCCGTTGCCGGAAGATTATCCGCCACTTGCCCGTAATTCACACCAATAAATGACTGAGCCTCTAAATATATATTGAGAATTAGTTATCAAATGGTTCATTTGATATTATTATACTCCCGCATATAAATAGAATGCATTTTCTTAAAATTAAATTATTAATCTTCAAATAGTCAATTTCACATATATAACAAAAGAAAAATGTTTGATGAACATCATTTGGGGTACAACCACATGAATACCAGGCTAAAAATAGATACACACTGCGTGCATAGACATTAAGTGTACATATGGACTACACTGCATTGTTTAATTGTTCCGTACGTACCTGCAGAAAGAAGAAAAAGGAAGAGAAACAAGAAATTGAAGAAAGAAGATGTATAGAGAAGACTGGCCATATATGCTTGCTTGCTTTAATTGATTGTTTGGGTTTGGGCGGGGAGGAGGCCGGCCGCCGCCGGGTAGTGGGTGGTGGAAGTTGATATAATATAATTTGTTCTTGCTTGCAAGCTAATTAAGGTTATTATGAAGCGGTGGCATATTATGGATAGATAAAAGGGGTGGGATTTCAGAATGGATAATAATTGGTCCGTCCCGGAGTGTTTGTCCACTTTTGACTTTTGTAACTGTTCATCTAAGCATTTTGACTCATCAAATTCTCTCAATGTTTAAGTCTAAAAATAGTCATGTGTAATCTTGTTTGATTCGTCTTAACATATAGATTATTAATATATAATTTTTATAATTTTTTAATATACAAATTACAAGATAAAATGGATTAAAGAAGTACATTGAATGGTGTGCAAAAATGAAAGTGGACAAACACTCAGGGACGGGGGAGTATAATGCAATATACTCCGTATATTGTTGAGTTGTGTCTATATATCTTCACACTTTAATTTTGATGGAATTGTGGACACAGTGGGTGCATCCTTTCTTGGGTGCTAAGTAATGCCCTTCCTATTTCTCATCCACCGTCAAAGTATATACCCACTCCCGCTCATCTCTCACTAATGACCTTTATTTACTCTGACTCTTTAGACATATTTATAACTATTGTGCGTGATTTGTTTGTTTATGGACACTGTCGATGTGGAGATATCAAGACATAATATAATTTTAATACAATATCTTAACAAAAGTACGTTAAACATATATGATTCAAATTTTTGTAAATTGACACGGATAAGGTATGCCTCTTTAGACATATTTGGAATTATTGAGGGTGCTTTGGTCAATTTCGACACTGTCGATTTGGATGTCTCAAGACATAGTAGTGTCTCGATACAATATCTTAATAAAAGTACATTAAGCACATTACACATATGATCCAAACCTTTAGGGGTGAGCAAGTACCGAACCGATACCAAAATTTCCCGAAAAAACCGAGAATACCGAACCGAAAAATACCAAATCGAAAAAGTACCGAGAAGGAACCGAACCGTACCGAACCGAATGGTCGGTACGGTATTTGGGAACGGTACGAGGTGACGTCCCATACCGAAAATCCCGAACCGAACATATATACTAAAATATTATAAAAAATAATACCCCGGAGTAATATTTTTATATTCCTTCACTAAATAATAATTTTTTAAAAAAAAATTGGTTCAAGTTCTATTATGTGTAAATTATACTTTTATTTGAGTTTTAGTTTTTGTGTATGAACATAAAAGTATTCACAGAGATTCAAAATACTCCTTTGTTGTCGTTCATTTTTTTAGATGGTGAAATATAAATAAGTTTTGATACGCATCTTTTGCATTCAAATATTCATTTTTTTAAATTTTTCATGTTTTTTTATTTAAATTCACTTTTATTTTTCAAAAAATAAAGGAGCATTGTTAAATTTTAAGGTGTAAAGTAGGTATGTATATTCATCCCGATTTGTACCGAAACCGATACCGAACCATCCCAAACCATACCAAACCGATATTTCGGGATCGGGATCGGTACAGAGTAAAATTCCATACCGAACCGAAAATTTGGTACGATATCGGTACGAGCTAAATACCGTACCATACTGTATCATGCTCACCCCTACAAACCTTGATGAATTGAAATCTCGAATTGAACAAGGTATGACTCTTTAAACATACTAGAAACGATTTTGGGCGATTTGGTCGAGTTATGTTTGCAAATAGAAAATTTTAAATTATCTATGCATCTATTTCATTCTAATACTTAATTTAATTAATTAGGTCCATGAATTAAATAGGTCAGTTATTTATTTTTTGAGAGTAAAAATTTAATTTTTGAGAGTGTAATATTTAAAATGAGGCATTAAAAAAATATAGATTGTGTTTGTATGGTTGTGCGTGTGTGTCTATTGATATAATTAATTAAAAGTGTTTTTAATGCATCATACCCAATTAATTAGGCAAATGGTAACATTAGCGTTCAGAATGTTTGGCACACCCATACACTCTGATCTCTTGCCGAGAAAATTTGGCACCAATGTAATAGTGGTAGTCTGGTGTTACTATCTGTACCAATTTGACATCTAGACTTATTTTGGTATCAAATGCAATGTACTTCTCTCGCATCATATTCTCTAACTTTATTACCGAAAAGATTGATCGAGATAGATGATTAGGATTTGAACCAGAAAAGATGGAACTGAAGTTGTCCTTGAGATCGATAGTCTCATTTTGATTGAGCCAGACTTGGACCGATCCTAAACGAGACTAACCGGTCCCAAAAGACCCCTATTTTTCATGACGACCAACATTGTGTGGATTGATTTTTATACAAAAAAGTTTTAAAAATTTTACATACTCCGTATTAAAGATCGGACCCAACTTGGACTGATCCTAAACGGGACTAACTAGTTCCATAACGTCCCTATTTCTTATGACGACTAGAAAAGTGTGAATCCATTTTTATGAAAGACTGAATCAATCTTGTTCGGTTTTTTCGATCGAGTATGATTAGTTCGGTTTTTTTACTCATCTCTACCCTAAATATTTTGGACAAGTGAACATGACACAAAAACTTCTAAGATGAACTAAAATTTTGTTACGAGTGTTTTTTTCTTGTTCTCATCATCAGGACGAGCGCTGCTCAAAATTGAAGATTTTCCCAATCTTGCAGAAGGTATGCTCGTACTTCGTTTAAATTCATAAACCCTGCAATAAGTGTGCGCTCCGCATGTCAAGTTTTCTTGGTTTTCATCACATATGATCTCTTTTCAGGTCTATCTATGGAGAGTTCTTCCAAAACCTGAAATAGAAGCTTTTGCTCAAGCAGTAAAACCACACCAGGTTTCATTTTCTCTGTTTCAAAGTTAAAGAAATTTTAGGATGGATGACCCCATAGAAGTTTTCTAAACTCACACGAGTGAGGGCAAGGTGCACTGGACTTGTGTAGGTTTGTGGGGTCAAACAACAATCCTCGTACACCATGTCGTTCACACTTCATACTATTCAAGTGCCTAAATGTTATTCTTTCATCTGAATGTTGAATACAGCATTCACTACTGCTAGGCAACTTTACCATTCCGTCCAGTCCAAAAATGTCAAAATAAAACAAGTTTTTGTTTATTGTGTACTCCATAGACTTAGTGAATGTGCATAAATATTATACGGAGTGTTTTACATCCTCTGTTTTCTATGATATGACCATATATAAGTGTAAATTGATTCTTATAAATGGAAAATGCTACACTTACATCATACTTGCACCATGTACTTGCATCACACTCTTTGTTAATGCTGGTTTACCATAACACGTACCAAATGTATATATCTGAGTGTTGGGATTTTAAGCGCGTAAGATACCGAAAAATATTGAGAACACCAGAAAAATGAGAGAACAAACACAAGAAGAAGATATGAGAGAAAAAATTATATTTCCACTACTTCAGGACAATATACAAAAAACTCTCCCCTGTTTACAAGGCTAAATTCCAGACACTCGTAAACAGATCTTTCCACATCCTATGCCCGGATATATTTTTCCGAGTAACTAAAACCAGTTACTCCCTACACTCACCCACACTCACCAAGACCCCTTGGATTTTCCCGGTGGTATTCTTGTGTAGAATTCCTCTCATGCTTCTCTCTCTACCTTGGTGGTGTGTAAAACCCACACACACATCTACCTTAGTCTCACTCCTTTTAAAGCAACTCAAAGCCCCTCAAAATCACTCGTACATGTGTAATGCCTAGAAGATGCTTGTTGATTTGCACTAATCCAAAGAGATAGAAACAAAAAACCAAAAAAAACTCTTCACATGCATGTTGTACATCCAAATGCATGTCACTATCCTTTTTCCTTTTTTTTTATTTCTTTTTCTCTCTTCTTGAATATTTAATCAATATTTCCCAACAAACTCCACCTTGATTAAATAATCAACAAACTTTGTAGCTCCACC